ATCAGCAATGTCACCAGTGCCACCACCAGTGCTGCCACCAGCACAACCACCAGTGCCACCAGTAGAGCTTTAACCAGCCCCCCACCCCTGCCACCAGTGCCCGTCCCCATGCCCAGCAGTGTCCCCACCACAGACAGGCAGGACAGGGCTGCAGGGTACAAAGTGCCTTTATTGCCACCACCGCGGTCCCCCCCAGGCGGGGGGAACCCAAACCAGGCTCCAGGCCCCTCCCCTGCAGGCAGGGGGGCACCTGTGGGAGGGGGGGAGCACAGTGAGATCCCACACCCCTCCCAAGCGGGACACCCCATAACCACCACACACCCTCCCCAGCCCCCGGGGACATGTTCCAAACAGAGCATCCCCAATGGGCTCCCCAAAATCTCTCCACATCCCAAACATACCTTCCCCCCGGGGGCCATTTTGGGCATTCTCTGTCTCCAGCAGCTCCCAGTACTTTTCCCTGGGGAGAAGGGGAGGAGAGGAATGATCTCTTGGCAGGATGTGGGGGCGCAGGGGGGTCCCCCTGGGGTGGGGGCTCACCTGAGGGTCCCTCGGAGGCCCTGGAGATGTTGGAACAGGCGCTGTGCCTCGGCGGCGGGGTCCAGGGGGTCGCTCCAGTCCTGCAGGGTGATGCCGTGCCGTGTCCGGTCGCACCCCAGCCCTGCAGGACAGCCGGCTCACGATATGGGGGAGACCCCATCAGCACCCCTGCGGGGGTCCCAGCTGCCCTCCCCGGTACCTGTCCTCTCCCTCTGGTGACAGCAGCTCCACTTGTCCCCCCGGAAGACCCCGGGGTGGTAGGCACGGAGCACGCGGGGGTTGTTGCCGCACACCTTGCGCAGGGCCGACAGCCACTGGTTCAACTCATTGACGCACTGCAGGGGGGCGGTGAGGGGGCTGTGACATCCCTCGGGGGGTGCCTGTCCCCCCCTCATCCCCGTCCCACCTTGCACTGGAGGTAGGCTGTCTCCTGCTGCCCGCCCGCGCCCAGATAGACCACCTGCATGACGTGGGAGCTCCCGAAGCTCTTCTTCTCCATCTTCTCGGCAGCAAGGATGTCTGCCAGGGCGATGGCACCGCTACGCTGCCGGGGAGGGACATAACATGACACAGGGGGTCAGCGCCACCCCCCCCGCCACCACCCT